GGCATCCATGGAGCACTGGGAAACTGATGGTGTGGGAAACCCCTATTCTCACATTGGAATGGTCCCACAATCATTAATAACTAAAGAGTGGCTCTGAAGGAAACAATTAGAAAGTAGCTACTGAATGTTATTCCCAGAGTTTACATGAAGTTAAGCTGTCCTGTTCAGCTATAGGTTTCTTTGGTTTATCACATGATCTAAAATGAGAACATAAACTGTATACAGCTATATAATCTTTAAGTTTGAAATCCATTCTGGCATACTTTACACTAATTACTAAAATTTTTAAATACCACACTTACTGGAAAACAGAAAATCACGACTCTTGGGAGTCTTAGTATTTTGCAAATGGTATTTGATAATTATTATTTACAAATATCACAGTATTGGAAATGCTGGGTTTATCTCTTTGGCCCCTTCATCCTGAATGCCACTTGCAATTACTATGAAAATAATAGACAGACCTAGGTAGAGCATGGGATTCATTTCCTGGTCTCTTAGTTTAGTTAATAAAGAATGGTATACACTTAAAATACCGGGTTCAGTCTTTGCTAGAGCACTTGTACTTTTTAAAATTTAGTTAGAACTAACTGAAATTTATTGTATTTCTCTAAGAGTGAGCATATAGAAAAACATATAAAACAAATAATCAATAAAAAGTAAAACTCGAAGGGAACAATCTGATCAGTAATATTTGTCTCATTTTAAAATTTTCCTTCTTTTATCCTGCTGTTTAAATTACGTATCTTTATGATATTCAGCCCTTAACTGTATAGAATAAAAGCTTCCAGATTTTTGGTACTAAGAAACAACTACAAAAATCTAGATGGACATTTATTTTACAGAAAATTTGAGCAAAAAAAAAAAAAAAAAGTCAAAGGTCCTTTTTTCTTTCTTAAAATAATATAATCTGTTTTTTGATAGTTTTTTTATGGTTTATATATCAAATATACAGATTTGATAGTTTAAGTCTTCTTCTTTTGATAGTTTATATCTCAAAAATTGTTCTAGGCTTTGTGAAAATGGCATCATACACAGCATAATGTGGAAGTGGAATTCAAGTTGTTGAATCTCATCAAGCTACAGATACTAGGTTGGTTTGAAATTTAATAATAGGGCTGCCTCATAGCCTTTAAAAAGCCACTTAATAATAGATATGAGATAATAAGTCTATTTTTTCCCCAGAAGATCTTTTTAAAATTCCTGCAACTATAAAAATAGTGGTAATGAAAAAAAAAAATGTAGACATGCTGATCTCATTTCAGAGAACAATTTACCCATAATCCTGGACTTCAAGATGATCCACAAAATGACTTTGTCATGAATCACAAAACAAGGAATTTTAAGGGAAATCTATTTCAAAATAGTCCAAACAATTTACCAACATCATGAAACATCTAAAAGTAATTATACTTCATTGATGAGGTGATATACCCAAACTAAAGATACAGAAATCAGGGAGTTCTAAACAGCTCCTCATTTGTTCCTTCCCTCAATACGAAGATTAGAAAACTAAGGGGCAGAGAGGTTGGCTGACTCATCCATACTTACACAATAAATTCTGGCGTATGTCCCACCTGATTCCAATTATAGCTTTATGATACGCTATAGAAGGTTTTTTCTTTCTTTTCTTTCCTCTTTCTTTCTCTGTCTCTTTTTGTTATATATTACAATATGCTATTATACATCTATAACATAAAATAAAATAACTTAAACAGAATAATATTGTAAGAATCCATATTTTATAATATTTATCACTGACTTTCTATGAAAATAAAATTTGAGGTGGAAAATTTTGTTCTTAAATTCAGGGGTTTTTTCTTTGCTATTGTGACTGCTGTCTAAGATCTCTATTGGGATTGTATTTGTTGCATTTAATTTAAGTAATGAACAAGTGTGAAAAATTAATGGGTCTGGGGGCATCTGACATTGGATGGAGGTTATTTCATTTGTCAGTATGAGACATGACAACATTAGTTCTGCTCAGTTACTTGTTTCTAGAGCTAGACATTAGCCTTGTATTTGGTGAATCTGCCTCCTATTGTTTGCAAAGCCGCCTCTCCAAATATAGCAGGCATATTAATCAAATGCGGATTGATGTAATTTACTAATGGTAAGAATGAAAATAAATCTAGACTACATCCAAATAACTCACCAGTGAAATACTGAGGCTTAGCCAATTTTACTTGCATCATTACCTTGCAAAATGTTGTCTGTAATTTCAGCTAAACGTTCAAATCAGTAAACATAGATCTTAAATAAATTTAACCGCAATTCATTTAATGTGCTGAATACATGTTATATAAGTAGAAATTTGATTGACTGCCATCTACAGTTTTCAACCATTTTATTTTGTAAATAAGAAAACCAATGCTCAGAAAAGTTATTAACTTGGTCAATGTCTAAGAAGTAAGTGGCAGAACTCCAAAATTCAGTCAAGTTTTCAATTTATATTAAAACATATAGCTGGTGATCTAGTCTATAAGCACTTACTTTATCTGAATTCCAATCTCAAACAATAAATTTTGAACTTATTATAAAATCCAAAATATTTTAAAACATGTAAGCTTAATATTCAATATTACATATATGATATGTATACCACATATATATGATGTATATAAAATTAAATATATACAATATACATATATATATGTACACACACATATACACACATATTTGTATATATATACACACATATATATATGTGTATATATATACACATATATATATATAAAACTTACATGAATAACCTTGGGGGAAAAATCAGTATGCAGTAGAATTCAGTACCTTTGCATTAATTCTTGGCCATTAAGATTTTTAATCTTTTCCCACATTTTCTCCTTTAGGTCTTCAAAAAGAAGTCTTTCTGAAAACTACAGTGTCAAAAACCCTCTAGTTTAAGAGTTGTACCCTAGTTCTATAACATGAAAATTTTGCTTTTCTTTACACTACTTGATATTTGTCATCACAAAGAAGAAATTCCTTTTATCTATCTTGTTATTATGGGTTGATTTATGCTCCCCTGAAAATTACCTTGAATATGACCTTATTTGGAAATATGGTCTTTACAGATGGAATCAAGTTCAAATCAAGGCTTTAGGACAGATCCTAATTCAAAATGGTGGTGTCTTTAAGGGGGAAATTTGAAACCAGAAGTGAAAAATTCTTTTTTTTAAAGATTTTATTTATTTATCTGGCACACAGAGAGAGTATGTATGCATAAGCAGGGGAAGCAGCAGAGGGAGAGGGAGAAGCAGGTTCCACACTGAGCAGGGAGCCCAACATGGGGCTTGGTCCCAGAACCCTCAGATATGACGTGAGCTGAAGGCAGAAGCTTAACCAGCTGAGCTACCCAGGGACCCGTCAGATAGCCTTTAACTCTTGTAGCTTCTTTATTATTTACTGATACTTTGGTTTTGATGATTTTTAAGACCATTAGATGTTATGTTCAAACTACTGACAGATACTCAGTAATCAATTAAGATTTCCTAAATGTTTTGGACCAGTCTATCTCATTTTTATTTCAGTTCTTTCATTGACATAATTTTTGGTGAAAAGGATCCAAGTTAAAATTTTAGATAGTTGATAAAGGTTACTGAAGCTACTAAAATTTTACATTTCCATAACTACACTTACACCTGCATATTAGCTGGTTGTATAAACACAAATGTACGCACAAACTCAGAAAAATGGTTAACTTTTCTAGTTGTGAAATTTCAGATGATTCTGAAGTGGGACACAGATTTTAACTTTGTAAAACCTCTATATTGTTTTACAATATAGAACCTCTATATTGTGACAATAACTACAAAATAGGGTGTTAGCATGAGTCTCTAGACGTATCTTTGTATGTTTGCATATCCATACACTTACCATGAAGGACTGGATGATCTAAAGTAAATTTTGGCTCCCTCGGAAGATGGGTACTAGTAGGATGACCATAGCATTTATCATTAAACAGAGAGACTTTTGAGAGGGAAGAGAGGAGAAGAGTTTTTTAATAAGGATGTGGGACAATAACCATAATATGGGACTTTTGCTGTGTGTGAAAAGAGGCAGATAATCACTCTACTTGTGCACAGAAATTGATGTAGCAGTAAGTTAAAGGAAAAGGGAGGGGAAAGAATATTTTAAAATATATTTTTCTAAGAAATAGCAAGGATTTATGTAGAGTGGCAAGGGATACAATATGATATTCACCTTATTCAATACTCAATATTCAATAAAACTTACTGAAGGGGAGCGCCTGGGTGGCTCAGTGGGTTGGGCCTCTGCCTTCAGCTCGGGTTGTGATCTTAAGGTCCTGGGATGGAGCCCTGCATCGAGCTCTCTGCTCAGCAGGGGGCCTGCTTCCCCCTCTCTCTCTGCCTACTGCTCTGCTTACTTGTGATCTCTCTCTCTATCTCTATCAAATAAATAAATAAAATCTTTAAAAAAAATAAACCTTACTGAAGTATGTTTATAAAAAATCTATACACTTTTCCTTGCAAAATGTTTCTCATGTTGAGGTACAGTAAAATACTCTACCACTTTTTTTTTTTTTTCTGATAAATATCCTTCTCATAGAGAAGGGGGTGACTGTTGACAATCACCACTAAGTCAGAAAAACGGCCTCTGAGTCCATCTCTGGGCTTTGATTTTTCAAGTTAAGCATAAAATGAACAAGTATTTTTTCTCCTTTTTCCTTTTTTTTTTTAAATTCAAACACTGGCATGCATGGTTTCAGCCATCACTGAGACTACTTAAGGATGTTTTCATTTGTTTTGCATATTCACCTGTAACTCAATCCAAGTGCCACATTTAAAGTAGTGTTCAGAAACACAGCAAAAAAAATACTATAGTCCCTTTGTAGTATTCAGGGTCATTATCAACTTCAATTGTTTCATCTTCGTCTTTACATAATTCTAAAATTTTTAATTCTGCCTGTAGTCAAGTTTTTTAAAAAAGTACACATTCAAATAATTTGCCCACTTAAAAAAGAATATTATATACACTACCTTTCAAGTGAGGGCTGTGTACATGCATTCTTTGCAGATGTAGATTTATTGGAACAAATTCTAATGTTTTCTCTCCTTTGCTGCTGCTTGATTTGAAAGAGGACCCTAGGCAGAAAAAAAATTGAATGTTAATAGTAAATGAATAATAAATGTGTGTGTGCATGTATGTTGAAGAGAATGTTTGACATGGAAAAATATTACAAGGATTTCAGACAGAAAAGTATATCTTGTATAAGCTGCTTTTCTTTATAGAAATTCAATTTTAAAAAATTCTCAGTTATTCTTATAATAATCCCATGAGGTAAAACAGGGAAATCTATTTCTTCCTGGTCTATCATGCCGAGATGTTAGAATGAGAGATAAAAAGATTTTTAAAATTTTTTGGCTCTTCTATATCCATAACAACAATGCGTATTATTGTTTTCACCTAACATACATGAAATGCAATTCAGTTTGAATATATAAAAAGTTATTGCTTTCATACCTGTTTCCTTGCTAAGTTCTGTCAGAATATGTTGGTACATATTCACCATTTGATCACAGTGAGTAAGGACATTTTTCCGTAGATTGTCCCAGTGTGGAGAAAGCTCACCAAGTTCTTTTAACTCCTGGTTTCTGTTAAAAATATAAACGAGGAGAAAATATTTATTTTGATCTTAAGTCCACAGACAAGGAACACCTAATAAACATCGCCAAACTAATTAGAAATTGATTCACCATCCGTTTCCAGAAAGCTCTATGCACTCATTAGGGGAAAAAAAAAATTCTCCCACATCAGCCATAACAATATCTTTCAGGATATGTCTCCTGAGGCAAGAGAAACAAAAGCAAAAATAAACCACTGGGACTACATCAAAATAAAAAACTTCTGCCCAGCAAAGGAAACCACCAAAAAACCTGAAAGGCAACCTACAGAATGGGAGAAGATATTTGCAAATGATGTATCCAGTGAAGGTCTGTTATCTTAAATGTATAAAGAATTTATACAGCTCAATATCAAAAAACCAAATAATCTAACTAAAAAATGGGGAGAAGACGCGTATAGACATTTCTCCAAAGATGACATACAGATGGCTAATAGACACGTGAATAGATGCTCGACATCAATCATCATCAGGGAAATGTAAATCAAACCACATGAGAATCACCTCACACCTGTCAGAATGACTTAAAAAGACAAAAAACAAGTGTTGGTGAGCCTGCAGAGAAAAAGGAACCCTCCTGCACTGTTGGTGGAAATGCAAAATGGTATAGCTACTGTGGAAGACAGTACAGAGTCTCCTTAAAAAGTTAAAAATAGAACTACCCTGTGATCTAATAATTGCACTACTGGGTATTTATCCAAAGAGTACAAAAATACTAATACAGAAGGATATTTGCACCCCTATGTTTATTGCAGTGTTATTTACAATAGCCAAATTATAGAAGCAGCCCAAGTGTCCCTCAATAGATGAATGGCTAAAGAAGTGGTACATATGCAAATACATATATTTATATAGAAATGGAATATAATTCAATCATAAAAATAATGAAATCTTGCCATTTCCAACAACATGAATGGATCTACAGAGTATGATGATAAGTGAAATAAACCAGTCAGAGAAAGACAAATATCATACGAATTTAAGAAAAAAAAAAAAAACAAAAAAAGAGACAAACCAATAAACATACTCTTAACTTAGGAGAACAAACAGATGGTTACCAAAGGGGAGGTATGTGGGGGGAGGAATGGGTGAAATAGGTGAAGGGGATTAAGAGTACAGTTATCCTGATGAGCACTGAGTAACATATGGAATTGCTGAATTATTATATTGTACACCTAAAATTAATATAGCACTGTACGTCAGCTACACTGGAATTAAAATTTAAAAAGTAATTTTAACACAAGGGAAGATACGAATAGCTTAGGTCACACAAACATGAAAGTTCTGTATGTTGAAGAGGTGAAAAAAATACAAGTTAATAAATATTCTCACTGATAAAAAATTCACAAAGATGATGACAAAAACTTGCCACACACACACACACACACACACACACACACACATACACACACACACGGGACAGTCAGTTAAAAAAGAAACATTAAAACTTCAATAGAAAAACCGCTAAATTCTAGGCTTCAATCATCGAAAATAAAATTATGTGGAAAAAAATAATGTGGGACGGGCTTTCTGATTATGTCTGAAGGAATAACAAGATATTCAAGTAACCCAGTTTATACATAATATAGCTTTAAAATTTTTTTAAAGATTTTATTTATTTATTTATTTATTTATTTAACAGAGAGAGAGAGAGAGAGAGAGAGAGCGAGCACAAATGGGGTGGGTGGAGGGCAGGAGAGGAAGAAACAGGATGCCCATAGGGAAGTCCGATGCAGGCCTTGATCCTAGAGATCATAGCCTGAACCGAAGGCAGATGCTCAACCAACTGAACCACCCAGGCATCCTGCTGTAAAATTTTTTAAAGGCCCATAAATGGTATAATCAGGTATGATTTATTGGCCTCAGTTTCTCTCAAGAAGACAATTTAAGTAAATGCAGTACGCATAGGGTTTGTCTTTTCTTTATCAAAAGGAAGAGCTAATCATGCCATTTAAGTTTTAATTATTACCTTTTATCTAATTCTCTACCCTTTAGCCAAGTTAATTCAAATCATCAGAATGTCTTTTTAAATTATAATGATAGATGGCCTAATAGGCTGTCTGGTTAGATCTCTTATTCATTTCTGTAACCTTTTACCAACAACATTTTCATGAGGCTAATTTAACTAGCAATAATGAACCTTCTTTGCTATTTTGGCTGTGAAACATGCTAAATACCAAGCTAATAAATTCAGAAGATGTAGAATCTTTAACATCCTGTTAAATGCAAGAATAATGGATGGTGTGCAAAAATGTGACTTGCCTTCAAATGTTTGTAGCTGCCTTCGTTTTGTTTCAAAGGTGATGCAGTATGGTACCGCTGCATCTTTTATCTGAGGTCTTTACAAATTTGTGAACATTAATCTCATTCTTAACTTTTCCACAGATTAGCTTCCATTACACAACATTCATGGGAAAAGAAATGATTAATTAATAGCCAATGAGGGTAAAGAAAGTTCATGACCCAAGTTGAGACAGGTGGGGGAGCCTGGAGAACTGGGGAGTCCAGTTCTCTGTGTGCACTCAGATAGCAGAGGATTCAAATTCAGGACAAAACAACAATAACCAACAAAAACAAATTATTCCGAAAACCTGAGATATCTAAGTCTAGAAGAATCTGGGCAATTAGGTCAGATGTGAGAGAGATAGCCAAGTATGATATGTCAACTTAATACATAAGGTTTCAGGCTTTACTTCCAATATACAATTATGATGAAAATATTAGTTAAGTATTCCTATTTAACACTAATAGATGTACCATGGGTCTACAATTTATGTTGTCTCTGAATCCTTATCAATAAGAAAGAATAATGAAAAGAGAGGTGGAGTGGAATAATGAAAAGAGAGGGAGAGAAGGAAGGGTGATAGTGAAGCCATTGAACTGGGATGGAGTACATCTCCTTCCCTAACAGAAGCCCAGCAAAGCGCAGTGAGAAAAGTTTAGTGTTTTGGGGGAGTGACTCGAGATAAGCTAAAAGGAGTCCATAATCTGCTGTTTAAAATTTATTACACTCCTTCAATATGTCAAAGATTATATACTGAAATATACAGATGAAACCTGGCATTCACTGCTCATTTGCTCTAAATGATGGCACTGAACAGCTACACATTCCAAAAGGGAAAAACAACCAACATAAGGTTCCTTTGCATTGAAGAAAACTCAAATACAGGGGGACTATAGAATAAAGGTATAATAGACCAGAGCAGAGTAATGAAAAAGTTAGAAAACAAAATGGGACATAGTAAGAGAGTGGTTGTAAATTTAAGAAAAATGAAAGACATTAATTAATGCATTAAAATAGATTGAGTGGGGGGCGCCTGGGTGGCTCCAGTCGGGTGAGCGTCTGCCTTTGGCTCAGGTTATGATCCCAGGGTCCTGGGACCAAGCCCTGCATTTGGCTCCCCGCTTGGCAGGAAGCCTGCTTCTCTCTCTCCCTCTGCCCCTGCTTGTGTTCCTCTCTCTCTGACAAATAAATAAATAAAATCCTAAAAAAAAGAGACTGAGTGGGTACATGGGTGTCCCCAAATCAGGAAACTTTTCAGTTGGGAAGATAAGAGTTGTTTATACTGTATTTTAATTTGTTACTCAGCGAATAAAACTTTGACATTGAAGGACCTTGCTTTGTATCTCAAGCCAGATTCTCTAGAATGTAGACTGGGATCAAGCAGTCCCAGGTCAGCAAGGGGGAGGTAAGTGGGGTGTCGTAGGACAAAGAGAAAGTAGACATCAAGTGGGAGGTTACCGAGTCGGGCAGAACTTCACAAGAAAACATGGTTGGTTCCTTGGTCATGTTAACAGCTCCGGATAACTCATATGGAACTAAAGCACCTTAGAAAAGTTTATTAGATGGAAGGAGAAACATTTATATACCAGTTCCTTACCACCTTCTACAGTATTTCATTGGTAAAGATTCATCGTATGAGACATTAACTCCTCAGCACTTCTAGTTGTCTCTTCTGAGTGGCTACTGAGGAAGAAATGTTCCAGTAGAGACAGAAGTGTCCTACATCTGGTCATAGGTACCAGAACCACTCTGGGTCTTTCCAGGGTAGATGCCACAGGGGGCATGTTAACATCTGGTCTTCACCCTGGGGGGAAGCTGAGACAGCTGGTGGTGTTAGGACATAGGTGACAATGGTGGCAGTATCTGGAGCCCTCCATTGAGCAAGTAGGCAAAACCTGAGCAGAGTTTAAGGTTGAGCCAGTATAAAAAAGTACATCAAATGTGCCCATGACAGGCAACCCCCTGGAGAACTTAGATTTCCATCATTTCTTGATATCCATGTAGCATATAAAACAGCATCCTCATATCTTCCCTAAAAGGGAGTTCCAGTATAATCCTTCAAAGTGATGCCCAGATGCAATTCCCCCAAATGAGGTCATGAACCATGCTACAATATCTGATATTTCAATTTCAGTGATCTTAGGGGCCTTAGTTGATGTTCCTCATTCTCCTCTATCACTCATTCTTGATTTTCCTCAGATTCCTCTAGTACTTCAGCTGGTCTAGGTTGCTGCCTTATGAGGTGACCCAGACATTAATCCCAGTTAATTAGGTCCTTGGTTTCCCTGCTCTTATGGAATCTTAGTTGCTATAATTTCCCACTCACCTCTGGGCATGGAGCACACCAAAGTACTAGACATATTTCTCTTTGCTCAGATTATGAAGAGCAGCCCTACTTCCTCTTGGTGATAGGTACAGTAACCCTTGCTATCTTTGCTAGTCCATGGTAGTGAAAAATGCATGATAACCAGATCACGTGTGAACCAAACATAGCTTCCAGATGAGTAGGACTCTTTATGGGTTATGGACAGAATTACCCCATCCCATGCCTCAAGAATCAGGATTCTAACTGGCAAAGTCTAAGGTGGTAGGAAAAGGAAACACAAATCCACTTGTGGGGCATTGGGATTGACTGAAAAAAGGGCTCACCCCATTTCCCAGAGCTGTGTGTTCTACCTATAGTGGGC